AGGCCTTCATTCTTTCAGTTGTTCCAGGGATACTGTAGGCTCTGTAGACTCCTCCTCTGCTGCCACCACTACACCCCTCTCAGAGCCTCCATTGGTCTCTCAGGCTCCTCAGAGCTGCTCTGAGGTCCGTGGTGGTTGCTGGTGGCTGTCACCATCTCCAATTACAGCCATGCTCCAGGTTTTCATCTTCAGTGGTGATGAAGTGCTCTTGCATCTGCTTCTGCAGCACCAGCTCCTCCACACAGTTCAGCAGCTCATAAATGGAGTGAGTGTTGGGGTGGACTGCCTCAAAGCACTGGATCTGGGCCCGGATGGCAGCTGACTTGGTCAGCCTGCGCCTTAACGTACCTTCTTCATCTCTTCTAATTTTGACTTGATGTCTATTTTGTGAAATACTAGTATGACTATACTTACTTTTTTGTTTCATTTGATGGTTGCAATACCTTTTCCCATCCTTTCACCCCAAGGCTTTCTTGTCTTTGCCAATAAGGTACACATCTTGAAGACAATGAACAGTTGGACCCTGTTTTCTGTCCCATTTACTCTTCTGCATCTTTTGATCAGAAAACTGATGTCATTAGAGTTGTTATTGAAAGGTATGTTCTAAGTCTGTCGTTTTGTTGCCTTTATATTGGGTGGTACTTTCCTATCCCTCAGTTGCTTATCTATTTTGGTATAATTTAATCTTCCCTGTGGCCTCATGGATGTGTTTATCTTTCTCTCCAGTCTGCAGGGATAGCTTGGTAGTCATTGATTCCTTTAGTTTGTGTTTATCAGAGAATGTCTTTCCTCTTTCTTCTATTATTAAGGGTAGCTTTGCTGGATATAGTCATCAAGACTGGTAGTTACTGCCTTTCAGATGAAACACATCAGTTCATGCCCTCCTGGCTTTGAGAGCTGCTCCTGAGCAGTCTCTGTTCTTCTGATGAACTTGTCTTTGTGTGTGACCTGGAGTTTCTCTCCTGTCACTTTCCGTCTTCTTTCTTCCTTCTGCATCCTTGGTAATTTAATGATAACATAATGAGTTGATGTTCTTTTCATGTTGTCTGTTTGGAGTTCTAAGACTCTTAGGTCTGGATAACCATCTCTCCCTAGGTCTGAGAAATCCTCTGTTATGATCCTGTTGACGGTATGCTGTCCACTCTGTATGAGAGTTGGCCTGGTCCTCCCAGCTGAACCCTATGAAGTCAGTCACCATCTGTCCCCATCTGTCCCTCCCACATTCATATTCTGGTCCAGCCAAATTGATCTCTGTGTCCTGTGTTTAGTGTTTCTGAATCTAATTCTCAGGTGGTATGCACACACATAAACACACATGAGGATGGGGAGATGCATAGAGGGAAAGAGAGACACAGAAAGACAGGGAATGCAATTCTAGTGAAGTAATGATAATCCTCAGTGTGGCGGGGTGAGCACTACACGTACTAATAGCTGCAGCTATAGTTAGACAATTTCACATCTAAAAGTTGACGGAAATAAGAGAACACTAGAGTGTAGAGTTCAAAGGCAAAGGCTCTGTAGAAGTTACCCGAGTTTCAGTTCCAGTTCTGTGATTATTAGATGCAAAGTAGTGACCTCAGGCAAGTGACTCACCTTCTAAGCCGTGCACTCTTCTTCATCAGTAAATATACTACAGATGATGAAAACCCTAGTATATCTGTTTCCTGTCCAGAGGATGGGATGAATAGCTCAGAGGTTTGTGAAGAAGCTGGCTAGCACAGCTCCCAGTCACTGCAAACTGTCTGCATCCATGCTCAAGACAAAAATCAAATCCTTTACCGGAGTCCATCCACTGTACGCTCTATCTCCCTGTGCTACCCAGTCCCAGATGACTAAATGCTGTGGCTTTGGAATCTTTTGCCTATGTGACTCTTTTGCCACTGGCCCATGAACACTAGGATATGGAGACAGGTTCCACTGATATCCGTATTTCTAGGGCCTGGCAGAGAAATAGTTAATGGGCACATAAAGCTCCAAATGAGAAACTTGAGGAGTTCAAGCTAAATGGTGAAGAAAGTTCTTTCATCAGTTAGGAGCTTGCAGTTTTGCTGAGGCAGCCACTCCGTTCCCATGGGCTTCCTCCAGATAAGGCATCACCTTGATAAATTAGCTGTGGATATAGGCATCCTGCAGGTGGCATGGAAATGCAATTTAATTTCCAATTAAGCCTGATTTCTGGGCCAAGGGATTTGGCTGCCTCACACTGGGAAGATTATTTTGTCCAGACCTATCATTATTATGGGTAATGATTCTGCCACGAAGTGGACTCTCAAAGCAAAAGCCCTTTGATTCTTGAGATGGTGTGACAAGACAGTGGCGTGGGTCCCAAGGGCAAGATGGCTTTCCTTCAAGATCTCAGTTTATCTGGGGATAGTCAAGGACTTCCAAGCAAAGACACAGTGCCCTGGTAAGTGACATTTTTAAGATGAACGGGGAAGATGAGCATGGCAGTTCTCGGTCACACTCTCCAGAAGGAGGATGGAAAGTTGCTAGTGAGAGTTCCTTGGAACTCGCAACAGAAAAGCATCTGCATGGTTAGAGTTGGAGGGACGGCTGGCCAGAAAGGGACAAACATTCCAGAGCATCTTCAATGCACCCGGTACTCTACTGACTGCACTCGGCCATGCCAAGCACCCTATAAAACAAATGAAGTTTCTCTCTTTTCCCAGTTGAGGAAATTGAGCCTTGGGGAAGTTAAATGAACTGCCCAAGGTCATAGACAAATCGATTTGAACTCCTGGTTTTCTTTCCTACAAGCTTTATCACTAAAGACAAACATAAAAATACAGTGGGGCCCTACAGGTAATGCCACAGCGAACTGGCACTTAACTATGGAATTGTAGAATGAGAAGGAGCCCTTGAGAGAGTGAAAATAAATGCTGTCTGCACCTTCTTGGTGCAATGGCCTGCGAGTAGAGCCTGCAAGGCACAATTCTGTTTGGACGTGTTACCAGTTTCCACACCGGAAGTGAGATCCGAGAGCTGACTGCAGTGCTCTTTGGACGTGTTACCAGTTTCCACACAGGAAGTGAGATCCGGGAGCCGACTGCAGTGCTCCAGCATGGCTGCAAGTCTTGGGTGGGGCCAGGAGCTCCATCAAGGACCCTGACTGCCCCCACTAGTGTTTTCCCTGGTGACACGGAAAATCCACTTTCAAGGATTGGAAAAAAAATGCAAAGGCCTGAAGGACCATGGCCAGCATATTCACAGAAAATGTAGTTGGATGCCAAGAAGATGTCTCATGGCCAAATTTTTATTAATGATAAAGATAAACATAAATGATTATGCTGTCGACTACTGGGAAAACTCTCGAGATGATTATTAAGTCTGTGGTTTGTGAACACTGGCTAAAGAAAGAAAGGGCCATAAGAGAAGGGTGGGATCACTGAGAAGGTCCCATCAAACCTGCCGTCCTATTCTGCTTTGGAATAGTGGCCAGCAATGCAAGGATTCAGGAGATTGCAGAATGCCGGGGTTCCAAGTGGCCAGATGGGTTATGGGCCAGAAACTGTGGCTTCTGCACACTGTAGACAGCCCCAGTTGTTCTTGGCAGCACCCACATTTCAAGTGTTCATATTTAGGAAATATTCTCAGTTACTGGCTCTCTAGCAGAATAGCACAGAGGAGCTGTGAGAGCCTAGGCCCCGGGGGTAGTGGAGTGGGATGGAGGCAGCTAACATGCTCTCAACATTCGGCCTTTGCACACTTAATAAAGGGGCAGAGACGGGAGAACAAGGTACTCAGTGGTTAGAGCCATAGTAAAGAAAGCTGTACTGTCTAGTTTTTATCTCAACTCCTCTACTTGCTAACTTCTAGGGCAAGTTAAACCCCTTCCTCATGTTTCAGTTATCTCTTCTATGAAATGGAGAGGCCAATATTAACCTCAAAGGATGCCGTTACTGTTAAATGAACCACACATGGAAAGGCTTGGCCCACATCCCGGCACACAGGTGCTCCACAAATGTTAGTTCTTATTACTATTAGGGATGACAGATTGTCGCTTGGGGGAATGGTTAGCTAAATATATCCCGGAATGGAAGGGCTACAGCTTGGTCCAGTGAGTTATTCATCAAAAGTGTTGATGTAGACTGTCACTAAAGAGAAATGTGGAAATATGAGGGTTTTCTCCCTGGCTGTGCTTCTGATGGAAGATGGGAAAGTTGTTCCTCCTCTGACACCAACCAGTTCTGACACCTTGTGAGCTTCCTCCAGTGTACTGCAGTTTTGATGCTACACAGAGTTAGCAAGAGACTCCACAGGTGGCCTGTGCTCTCACACAAGATTGCCCTTCACAGTGCATAGGAGGAGAAGACCTGTTTTGAGGATACATGTTTAGTGAGCCTCTAATTTTATTCCATGTGTGTCACATCAGGAGTGCGGGTCGAATGGAATGATGGGGATCATGAAGAACCAAAGTCCCTGTAACCCACCTTTGACTGCAGCTTGGGAGAAGGAACAAGCCTGGGGATATATCGCACACTTGATTCACATCCAGTCTGGAGTTTGCTGCTTCCACATACCTCCCCTCCCCATCTCCCAATCCCCCTTTAGGGAAACTGGCTGATGACAGTGTATTGTACATCAGCAGGGAGGAGCTGGGTCACCCAGGAAGACCCTGAATTTTGCATTGATCTGACATCCAAGTGTTTGTAGGTCGGGAGATAACCCATCCACTGACCTTTCTGTAACATCATGAACTAAGACACAGAGGCAATCCAGAGACCTAAAAGCTCCTGTCTGTGTCTCAGTGGCAATCTGAAGTACTCTGTAGAGGACAGCTTTATGTTTCCATGGGCATGGAGGGAAGAGACATCATCCTTATCTCTAGATGCACTAACCCAACCCCTAAAGCTGTCTGTGCTCAGGACTTACTCTACTTTTGAAAAATATTGAAGCTCCAAGGAGTGTTGATGTGTATTGGTCATAGTTATTAGTGGTTGCCATTTTACAAATTAAAACAAGGAACTATAAAATATTTCATTTCAATTTCTTTATTTTAAAGTAATAGTAAATCTATGCATGTTACAAAAACATTTTATGAAAAATAATTTCATCCTACAAAATTTTATCCAGAGAAATCCCACTGTTTTACATTTTAAAAGTTTTATTTTTATTTTTAATTGTGTGTGTGTCTAAGTGTAGACATGTGCACATGGATGCAGGTGCCCCTGGAACCCAGAGGTGTTAGATCCCCCCGGAGCTGGAGTTGTGTGTTACCTGACGTGGGCACTGGGAACCAAATCCTGGTCCTCTACAAGGGCAACACACACCCTTAACCACTGAGCCATCTCTCACACCTCTGTTATATATTTTTTGAAGATATCTTTAATGTCTAGTTAACCAAGCAGCTGGGCTCCAATCAATGCTATATATTTGATTGACTATGATGGGTATATCTCACTCTCTTGATCTGAAACTTCTGACCACGTTTTTAGGAGAACAAGTAAGAAAAGATGTAATTTCTGTCTCAGTGTCCTTACCAAAGGGTAGTGGCCTCCTCTGTCTCCAGTTTAAGGGCAGCTGCCCTTCACTCTAGGGAGGATCCGTGCCTCTGACCTGCATCTGCCGCTTCTCCTTCATCTGCTTGTGAAGGGACCTCAGCTGGTAAGGAACTGGATGGCCTCACTTGTTCAAACAGCATCTCCCCAAACATTTCATGGAATTCAAATTCCTCCAAAAACAAGAGGAAATAAAAGGGTACTAGACATTTTAACCAACCACCTGTTATATCAGTGGTAACTTTGCAACTGGCTGACCTAAGGGGGTTAACAGCAGGAGAACTTGGGCTGAAACTTGTTGGTTTAGAGGGAAACAGAGATTATTTCAGCAGATCACAAAAATGAAGGTTTCTAGGTTACAGGATTTGAAATGTACACCCTTCAGGTTCCTTCTCACCCTTAATAATGGTGGTGATAGAATGGGGGACAGAGCAAGAAGAAAGACAGCCCCCTGAAGGCAAGCATGTATCAGATTCATCTCTTTCCCCTCCCTGCCTTCCAGCTTTACAGAGAGCAGAGGAAGAGAGCTTTTCCCTTGGGAACCTTCAAAAAACAGAAGAGACCCACTTTCTTTGAGTCACGGCCTTGGCTAGAGAGCTGAAGCCATCTGAGGCCTGGCACTACTAGGGTGTCTCCCAAGGATTCTTTCCACTTCAAATCAGCATCTCGGGGTCCTATTGTCTCTGATCTCCATGAGGTGTCTGATTGGGGGCAAAGGCCAGCTGAGGAATAGACCAGGTACACCTCTGCAGGTGTGAGTCGCGGCCTGTGAGGATCAACGCAAAGGTACAGAAAGCACCTGATGCTCATCAGCAGTGACTGATCCGGGATGGGTGAGGGAGGGCTCTCTGTCTGTAGGCAGCCATTGTTGACAAGATCATCTTTGCTGTGCATCTGACTCCGCCACACTCAAATGCCCATTGTTCATACGCAGGCTGGCCACGCAGTTCCACAAACATAGATGGGTGTGAATTTGATGGGAGCAGGCCATCCGGCTGACAGGAGGGCAGCAGTTTTTCAAGAGAAAATGAAGGTCATCATGACTAATGCATCAGGCAGGGGAGGCTAGGCATCCCTACATACTGATTCTTCTGGAAGGATGTGTCAGTTTTCTCCTGCTGGAAACCTGCAGAAAGTAACCCCTTAAAGTCAGACTCCTTGCTGGGACATTTGCTTTCTCTTTTTAAATTGAATTTGAAGTGGGGGGGGTGATGGTTATAGATTCACATGTAGTTGTAAAAAACAATACAGAGAGATACCTGCTACCGTTCATGACTTTCCCTCAGTGGTAGCATCTTGTAAACTATACCACAGTTGAGCAGAATGTGGGCTTTCCTGAAGACTCCTGAGACTGAGCTGACCCCCAGACAGAGATGCTCTGGGGAACAATGAGTGGCTTGTCCTTGAAAGGAAGGGCCACAGGTAAGAAACTGGAGGGTAACAGCAGATGTCAGGGCAACCTGGGCAGAATTATCAGATCGGTGGCAAGGATATAATGGTGCTGTTCACCTGCCCACCAAGCACCATGTGGGGAGAGCATCGAGAAGAGCAGCAGAGGAACATGCTACCTCAGGTCTCACTTCCTGCTCTTGTAAAGCTGATGGTACCAATCGGGGGCCCCCTTCTAGCCCTAATCACCTCGTATTAGTATCGTTAACATTTAATGTGTTAAATGTCCAACATCTATGTTTATAGGGGACATGTTGAAATCACCTGCAATATGAACTGCAAATTCTCATCCTAGTAAATGCCATTCTTCCATCCGGGGAGGCTAACACTGTCTTCCCAGCCTGTCTCTAACAGGAGAAACAGCCCCGCATAGCCCGCCCTCATCTCCCTGAGGGTGGCCCCCTTTCAGCATTCTCCAAAATAACAGCTCCGTATTGCTTTTCAGATTAAAATCAACAAAACAGTATATGATCTTCCTATTATTAAAAAAGGAAAATAACAAAAATGAACAGGGATAAGGAAGAAAATTAAAATTAACCACCATGTCACAGTTAATATTTTGATGTGTTTATTTCCTCAAAGACTTTTGTTATTGTGTGAATATTCTTGGACTCTGTATCAGGAGGTTCTGCCCCATTGCATTCAATCAACTGCAGATTGAAAGTATTTGGGGAAAATTGCATCTGTAGTGAGCATAGATGGACCCTTCCTCACCATTATTCCCTAAACAATAGAAAATGAAAACCATTTACAGCATTGACATTGTAGTGGGTGTTATTAGTCACCTGGAGATGTTGTGAGGCACATAGGAAGGTGTGCAGAGCTCTCTCTCTCTCTCTCTCTCTCTCTCTCTCTCTCTCTCTCTCTCACACACACACACACACACACACACACACACACTGCATCACTTTATATTAAGGGATTTTTGGCATCTGAGGGAGTCTCGAAACTAGTTCCTGTGGATATTGAAGGACAATAGCAATTCTAAATTTCAGAATAATGTATGACTTAATGTCCTTAACAAAAAGCAATACACTAAGTTGCCCTATAAATGAGAGCTCTTGTTTTTGTGACAATTGAAAGAAGCTGAATTTGGCCAAGGAGAATATCTTGGGAGCGATAGGCAGGCATTTGAGCTAAGAGAGAGAACATAGGAACAGAGGTGACAATATTCATCATCTGGGGCGTATAAACTGACGTAGTAGTTAACAGACATGAACCAATTGAGGACAGGAGCAAGGAGCTGTAACTGGCTAGCTCTTTGTCATCCAAAGGCACTGGAAAGCTATTAAACATTCTTGAGTAGGAAATGACTTCCCAAAGATGTTGAACAAACAAAAGAAGAGGAAGAGTGATGAGCAACCCTGCCTGTGACCCCTGCTGTCCGAGGTGACTCCCGAGCTATGGTGCAGAGTAGACTGGTCTACCTCTGAGCTGCCAAGATGGATAGGGACCTGTTGAGCTTCACCATGGCAATAATGAGGAGGCCACCAGTCAGCAGGAAGGTGGGCCAGAAGAAGGAGAAGAGGAGGACTTGAGGCCCATAGAGGCGCCGATACACAACGGTGGTCTCATTGACTTGGGGTGCAGAGAAGCAGTAGAAAGTCTGGTGCTCATGGAAATTGCCTCTGACCTTCTCCACGTCAGCCAGGGCCATCTGGTAGTTGTCCAGGTTGCCAGGGATATAGGAGCACTGTGGAGGAGAAGCAAGTGTGCTTAGGCTTTCAAATGCTCACTTCAAAGAGGCCCAGAGGTATGAAAAAACACTCAAACAAATAAAACAGTGGCTTGGGAGTCAGCCCCTGGAGAGCATGGTTGGTATCTGTGTATGGACGGTGGGCTAGGAGCCACTCAACTGATGCTGTACACCTGGATGCAGGGCTCAACTGGAATCTATTTGCTGTGAAATCTTAGGCAAATTGCTCACCCTCTCTGACCCTTTATGGCTTCATTACTGAGATGGGTTAATAGTGTCACAGTGATGGGCCAGAGAATCATGGCTCACACAAGTCTATGGACAAGGGGTTTCTATATGCAAACTCATGCAGGTAACGCGGAGGGGTGAAGCTAGGCAGGCAGTGTCAAGTCAGAAGAGAGTGAGCCAGCTACATCCCGAAGGGGGGTCATCACTCCCGTGGACAGGAGACACCACATCATCCACCAACATCTCCAGAAAAGCCAGAAAACCCGATTTTACTGCAAACTCCCAGGACTTCAAAATCCTGGCTAAAATCCAAATAGAAGACTCTTTGAAGTCTAATCCTGTGTGAACCAAAGAAAATACGTTGGCAAGCGGGTCTGTGACAGAATCCAAAGGAAAAAGAGAAAGTGCAGAGAAGAGCTCCGGGCAGGCAGAGCGCGGCATGCATTTAAACTCTGGCACTGATAGTTGCTATTAGGAACCTTCTGGCCTGTTGAGATGATGAGACCCAGCTGCAAAGCTCTGCAGAGACAGCCCAGAGTGGAGACCTGGCTTTTATCTTCCTGTGCCAGAAGGACTGGGTGCCGCCCGTATGAACCTCAAGAGATACTTTGCAAGGATGGACCTCTCTATAGACCTGCAGGAGAATACCTCTGGAGTGCCCTTCAGCATAAGCTCCTATCCTGTGGGGCATAGGCACAGGGGAAGTAGAGACAGACAGACACTCAAGGACCATATTCTAGTGAAGTAGTCATGTCCAAGATCAAATATGTAAGCCTGAGGCCCAAGGGGCAAGGGGTGAACTAGTGTCTTCTCCAGGACTCTGTTACCTCCCAAGCTGCATACTCCATGGGCACCCAGTCCAGGAGCACAGAGATGCTTCATCGTGGTGCTAATATCAGGGAAACAGGGGAGCTGCAGGCAGGTACAAGCTCACCCCAGTGAGCCAGGGAGAGCTGAAGCTCCCGGGGAATCTGGTCCTCAGAAGTGTTGGACACTGCAGGGTGTTTAGTAACAGGACTGTCCCTGGGAAACCTTGACCATTGAGCACAGGTTTCTCTGTAGAGCCAGACAGGCCCTGTGTGACCTTGGCATCTGGCACAACCTCTTAAACCTTGTGAAGTCATTTGTGGTGGTGCCTGCCCAGAACCTCCTTGGAGATTAAACTAGGAAACTTATGTAAAGCACTTAGCGAGAGCCCAGATCTTGTAAGTTCAAAAAGTGGAAGAATTATTAATAATAATATTGTTGCTTTACCTATGAAATTGGAGTAACTGCTGCTTTCCCACTTGAAGCATGAGCTCTGATGTAGGGGTCTGCACCCATCCCAGGGCACTGCTGTGTCTTTTGCCTGCTTGCAGTTCCTCTAGATTCTACATTCTTGATCTGTCTGTCAAGACCCTTGCCAGGAGTTTCCTCTCCAGGCTGAGGCAAGGCCTGGTACCTTTTACCTGCCCTGGTACAACCACCTCTGAGTTACTTGCATGAGCTGAAATGAAGCAGCCCCTGCCTCTAATCTGAGGCTTCAATCTTGTTAGGATAGGCTGCCAAGAGCTCCTTCCCCTTAGACTGAGGTCCATGGGGGGAGACAGAGAAGGCCATGGAGGAGGAATGAGAGCCTGGCATGTCTAGAGGCATGCTACCAACCCGGAACATCAGCCAGGCACACATCAGCCAGAGAATGCCAGACTGCCCTTCACTCTCTGTTCGTGGTTTGTGGGTGCTGTGGTTTAACAGCCCCCTTTCCCCCTCACTGGAAAAGAAGTAATATACACTGTTCACAACCCAAGCAAGGTTTAAAGTAGCTTCTGGCTTCTCTGGGCTGGCAGCCTCAGGATTAAAAGGCAGCCTTAACCCAGTGTGCCAGGAGAATGGCACCATTTCTCATCTTTGAAAATGTTTTTCTCACTTCTGGGATAAATTACAGTTGCTGGATGCCAAAGAAGAAGCATGAACCATTGGTAGGAGCTAACCCTGATAGGCCTCAATGTTCTTGTTCCACACAGTCTTGCTAACAATGGCCACAAGTCTGACTTCTGTGCACTGCCACACCTCGCTTCCACACCACCACCACCCCAAACATCACCCCAGGCACCTTGCCCCTTCCATCCCATCAGCCTCAAGTCTAACTGTCAGTATCATGCTTGTGACAGGGCCACACACCCGTCCTGGGGACTGCTGTGGCCCAGCTTCCATCTGGTAGCTGATCCTACACGGCTGAGGGCTATGTCTTCTCAACATCACTTGAATGGTGACCCTGAGCCTCCAGTAGCTCATAGCAATAATATCCAAACTTAGACTCATCTGGGGATCTCCACCAACTGGTCTGTACTCAGGGACTCTGCCTCAGTTGGTCTGGTGTAGTACTCTGATTTTGTTAAGTCTAGGCAGTTCTCATACGTAGCCAGAGTTGAGATGCCCCAATTTGTATGCCAATATTAATTCGATAGTTATATAGGAGAGGTTCTCAGGAAACAGACCCTGATACCCTTCAGCCGCTTCTGACCCCACTCTATCAGGTGGCATTTCTGGAATCCGTCTTCCTATATATGCTCTCTCCTCTTGAGACCCGTGAGCCTGACTTGGGAAGGTGCAGTGGTTGTTGAATGGGTGGGGGAAGTGAAGGAAAGGAAGGGAGGGCAGGGAACCAGCTGTTCAGTAGGGAGGGCTTTGATGGTGATTGGCAGGAGAGGGTGTAAACACATGTTTGGTATGGAGGTTGCTGTAGCTCCAGCTTCCAGGTGGCCCACGGATTCACCCATCTCCGTTCTTGGACTCGGTTGTGGAATAAGTAACTACTAATGACTGCTTCTCTTTTCTGAGGGCCCACCATTTGCCAACATGGGACTTTGCACATTTGGACACGGCACTGGACTTCAGTATAGCACTTCTGGGTATGGAACTAGCATCCATTTACAAGAGTGAAAACTGAGACTCCCAGGGCCTCAGTGGCCTTCCCCCAGTTGCACAGCCAATGAGGGGTAACTTTAAACCACTCACATCTGGCTGATTCCAGCACTGAAGGTCTGAGGCTGACTCCACCTCATTCTAGCCATAAGATCCCATTCAGGTTGGTTAATGTATCTTGGCTTTAGTGACATGGGCAGCCGGGGACAAGCTCACAGCCCCCATTCATTACCTGCTGGTTTTGGTCCCGAGTGTCCTCTGTGTGATACAGCACGGCCCATCTGCCCACAGCTGATACATTGACCCAAAGGCATGGGTACTGGGGCACCTTCTTGCCTTCCAACTCATCATGGTCCTTGATGTTGGTTTCAATCAGATGACAGGTAGATTCCTGGGTCCACACACTGGGGAGACAACACACACACAAACATGCACACCTCAGAACAAGGGTGACACACACCAACTTAGAATCTCTGTTCACTGAGAGTCTTTGGAGAGGCCCAGGGCTGGCACCTCCATCCGGCTGTGATCATGGAACAATCTCAGACTGGCTGGCTTTTGGATATTTTCTAAATAATGGTTCTCTGATCTTGCTATCCACCTCACACATGAAAACTTTTAAAGGCTAAGAGAAAGCGGGGCAGAATTTCTCAGGAGCTTGGGCCCAGGCTCTGATTTTCTTTAAAATTCTCATCACAGGATTGTGATGAGCAGCCAAGCCTGAGACCTTCTTATCCATACCATCCCCAAGTCACAGGTGTGGATGAAAACCTCAGATGGGACAGATGACTTTTGGGGGAGGGGGACACATATCACCTGAGACAAGGGCTAAATCGCTTCAGAATCTCTGCCGTTTCCCCTGAAAAATGAGGAACTCTACGAGGGCCTTGGTGTGGTCGGGGTTGGGGGGTGGCAGCATAGAGTGGAGAGGCTCTCACACGGCTGCTCAGCAGCACCTCATGTGGGTGACACTCTGGCCCGGCATGACTGTGGCGTTGTAAAGCATGGATGCGGAGCAGGCCCAAGAGAGGCCAACTCCTAAGCAAATGGACTGTGGCTTCGCTCCCTGTATCCTGTGGGAGAACCTTTGTCAGACAGAGGAGGGTTGTCAGGAGCCAGAATCCACCCAGAGGCCTCCCTCAGCAAAGGGTGGGCCGAGAGAGCACTGTGAGTCTGTTCCCAAGACAACAGCCATCAGGAACCCCATGACTCTTCTTTAAAAGCTGGAAGGATGGCATGCTGGGGAGACAGGGATGAGGGTGTGGAGCACTCTGCAAGATTTCTGCCTAGAGTCTGGGGGAACAGATGTCAGCTCAGTACAGAGATTTCCCACTTATTGGAAAAACCCAGACAGAGAGAGGCATGCTCCCCAAAGAGAGAACTCCCGTCTCAGAGTCATTTATGCAGACTGCTGCCAGTCTGTCATTCCAGTTCTCCCCCGAAGATCACACTCTCAGTGAAGAGCTGTTTTTTTATGACAAAGGGCATCTGCACCTGTCATCACCAGGTCCCAGACCAGCAGGACTCTCAACAGTCTTCTTCTCCAGCACTGGAACCCCTAAGCTTAAGGATGAGGGATGCCGGGTCTGTCCAGCCTGCTGTGAGGGGTCAAGGGCAGGGCAGGTAGAAGCCTGGGGTTCCTAGGCCAGTGGGGATCCAGGCAGTGGGGAGGTCCATACCTTTTCTGGTAGAGGGGCAGCACAGTGGTACCCAGGATGTAGTAGGTGATGGCCGCACACACTACCATTGTCACTCCCAGGCAGAGGGCTCGTGTCTCTCCACGCTTCTGGGCCATCACCAGCTTCTTCCCCATGGCCACCAGGGACAGCAATCATTTCTAGTACCATGGAGGCAAAGAGAAATGAGACCCACCCAGTTGATAATCCATAGAAAAGAGGTGTGGTGAGAGAGGATGTGATCAGATACTAATATCGCTCTTATTATGCATGGAGCTTTGCAACTTCCACAGGGCTGTGACCTCACAGGGGCCCCACCCTGGCCCCAGGCCTTCTGATAACAGCCTATGATTAGTTTTTCAATACCCAGAATCCATTATCAGCAATTATCTCTCTGAGAAGCTGGCACACTTGCCAGGAATTCCCCTGTGGCGTGCCAGCTTCCTCCAGGGAGCCTTCCTAGACTGCTGGGCATCCCCAAGACTAGTGACAGTAGGAGCCTGGTGAAGGCTAGAGCATGGAAGCTCAGAAGGGCAGGAAAGGGAAACATCTGCTCCAGAGCGGTCCAGCTCCTGCGACATGTCCCAGGCCCACCTGCCTGCAATGTCCTGATGGCTCACCAGCCCCATGGAGTAAGTTCTAAAAGAAACAGCAACTCCTGTGCTCAGTCATGGACTCTGTTTAAATGGAAGACAGAGGTGGGAATCTGGGATGGAGGAGGCTTAACGAGGCTCTCCCGCAGGAAGAAGGATGTGAACCTTTGATATCCCCTGTGGCCTAGACAGGAAGAAATGGGTTATTGTGATAAAAGAAGAGATTTCGGTTAGACCGTAGGGGGACTATCCTGGTTGTGAGAGGTTAAGTGTCTCAAGACTCCTTCGATGGAACTTTCTGTGTAGAAAAGTCGCCCTAGGTCTGGGCTGGATTTAGGAAAGTTGGAAAAGGGTTAAGAGTCTTGTGTGGTTTGACCAATGGGGTGACAACCTCTTCCTTAGAAGGACTGGGAATAGAAGGTGCAGGGATTTGGGGAGTGTAGAGAAGAGAGGGACTGAGGTCATCAGACAGGAGATCAAGTCCTGGCTTTGCTGCTTAGCAACCATGTGACTAAAAAAAAGCCAAGAAAAATAATACCCACCTCAGGGAGCTACCGATACCGTCAAGCATCACAAATTTGCTACAATGGAAGCCCTTCATAAACAGTAGCTATCATTAACTGGAGAGTCGAAAAAGCATGGAGCACTCTGCCAGGCCTATCTATTGTTGTCCCTCTACTGACGACAAGTGACAAGACTGGTCCCGATCTCCAGGCTGGCCACTGAAGTGACTCCCAGACCCGGGTCAACATGCCAGACTCTCTGGTGCCATAACTCTGATGGGCAGCAGGGGAGGCAGGGTTCCTGCCACCCTGTCTGTGCCACTGTAGGCTGCTGTCTCCCACTGTCACCCCGCAGCCTCGGCCTCCCGGAAGCCCTTCCCAAGCTCTCTGGGATGCAGTACTCACAGTTCCCCGGGTCTCCGCCGGCAGATGGTTTCTCTCTATCCGGCCCCCACCCCCATGCCATGTCGTCAGGCTTTAGCAGGAAGTTTGGTCTCCCAGTTGGTCTCCAGGGAAGCAGTCTTCAGTCCCATCTGGGTCGAGTCTCCATGCCCAAACATGGTCAAGTCTGAGCACACAGCTTGCCTCGGGACAAAAACTCCACAAGCAGGTACCTAGCCCTGAAGTCCTGTTGGGGATTCTGCCCCTGCATTTCCCGGAGTCTCCTGGGAAACAGATGTCAAACAACAAAACCCATTGCCCCCTTCACAAGACCATCCTTATATATACGGGAATGTTTCTTCTACACTCCATCTCTCGGCCTGGCAGAGAAGCTAGGAATAGGAAATGATTTTCCTTGTGTGGTACAGGGGAGGGGGGTATAAGGGTTGGGCTTGTCACTAACCCTGGTACATCCAACCCAGAGTAGCCAAAGCCTCCCGCCTTTGTCACTGACGTCCTGTGTGACTCTGAACAAGTCATGGCACCTCTCAGGCCTCTGTTTTCTCACTTCTATCATTAGCATTCTGAAAACTTAACTTCGTTCAGGATTGTGGTGAAGTTAGAGATGGTGGAGTCCAGAGAAGGAAGGATACAATTTAAAGACCACTGGTACTGAGGTTGGGAGTAGTGGGTCCCCCAGCTGCTTCCAGCAGATCATCCAGGCCCAGGGACAGTGCCCTGTTGGGGACCTCCCACAGACTGACTTTGTCTCAGGCAGATCATTGTTGCAACCAATAACACAACTGAATATTGGTACTGGGGGCAAACCTGCCTCTGCACTCCAGGTTCTCAAAAATTAAAGAGAAGAGTTTAGAGTTTAAAGTTGAGGGTAGCGCACACCTTTAATAACAGCACTCAGGAGGCAGAGGCAGGTGGATCTCTGTGAGTTCAAGGCCAGCCTGGTCTACAGAGCGAGTTCCAGAATAGCCAAGACTACACAAAGAAACCCTGCCTCGAAATTTTTCTTAAAAAGAGGAGAGCTGAAAAAGCAAGAAAAACAAGACACACACACACACACACACACACACACACACACACACACACACACACACACACACACACAC